GGGGGCTGGCTGGCATGTGGTGCTGGGGGATTGAACCGCGGTCCCTGTGCTTTGCTAAACTTGTTCTAAGTAGGTGCTTTAGACCACTGAGCCATCTCACCAGCCCATATTTTCTAAATTTCTGGGGCCGGGCAGATAGCTCAGTGGAATAAGCGCCTGCCTGGCAAGTGCAAGGGCCTGAGTTCAATCCCCGGTTCCGCAGGGGGAAAAAAAATTCTGCTAAAATTTGCAACATTGACTTTTCTTTACTTAATCCATCACTCCAATGTGCTGTGAAAGCTCCCTGGGAGTCTATAAGCGTCAGCAGTGCCCAGGGAATAAAGGAAGCAGGCTGTGGTTAAACAGCAAGTTCTCAGAAGGCAAAGGGTGAGAATCCCACAGACTGTTTCTTCATTTCTGCCTGGGGTCCCCGATACAAGTGAGATCTTCACAGCCTCTTAAGCGCTTGCCTGACTTGCTCCACTGAAAAAACAGGCCACGGAGGCTGTCTGACAACACAGTGTTCAGGCAGCTGTTGCTAATGACACAGGGACAAGCTGGGGCTTTGGAGGAGCAAATGGACAAGGGCCACCTCTCCCCAGGTGGCCTGGACAAATCACTGACACCTGCAGCCTCAGTGGTGCTGTGAGGACTAAGCACAGATGTCTCCCTACAGTCAGGGTCCCAGGGAGGACATAATGCTATTTTTCTAGCAGATGCCTAAGTAAGGTTTTTTTTCTTTTGTGTTTTAGGGAAAGGTCTATAGGGTGTTCAGGGTCTCACTACTAGATTGGACTTGTAGTGATCCACCTGTTTACAGCCTCCCAAGAGCTGGGATTACAGGTGCGCACCACCATGCCGACTCTATTGCTGTCTCAGCGCACCCCAGGGCCGGGGCCAGCACAGCATGCTGGGGATCGAATCCCTGGTCCTGAGCCTGCTTGCTGGTGCTTTAATCCACTGAGCTATTTAGCTGGCCCCTTAAGTAAGTTAATACAGATGCTAGGTCATTCCTTCTCCACTTGGAAGTGTGGGGCTTTCACCTGGCCCCTACTCCAAGGTGTAAGATGTGAACACTTCTGTCAAACTCTGACTCACTCGGATGCATACCTTTAGCTTCTTTAGTTCTAGCTGATGATGCTGTAAGGAACGTTCACACTCATTCCTGGTGTCCTGCAGGGCAGCATGTTCTCGCTCCAGTTCACTCTGCCGATGGAGAAAAGCACACATGAGAAGGCAGGGTCCTAACTGCCATATTTCTCCCAGGCACAGCCTCTCTGACGGGGCACCTCTGAAATGCCCTTTCTTTTGGTCAACATGTAGCAAAAGGGGACATCAGGGTAGGGGTAAGAAAAAAAGAGAGCCAGATGTGGCAACACTGCCAGTAATCTCAGTATATGGGAAGCTGAGGCAGGAGGATCACTGCGAGTTTGAGCCCAACCAGGGCTACAGTGAGTTAAAACCTTGCATGAACTTCATAATATGATCCTGTTACAAACAAACAGACAAAAAACCACAAAATCCTCCGGAGGCTGGGGGTGTAGCTCACTGGTAAAGGCTTGCCTTTGAGTTCAATCCCCAGCCACACCAATGGGGGGAAAAAATCAATCCTCATAGGAGAAGAAAGTGCTTCTCAGGACTGTGGAACAGGGAAAGGGACTATGGAACAGGAGAAACCATGAAGGAGCAATATGAATTTCAGAAAGAAGCTGAGGAGAATGGTCAGGAAGTATCAGGAGGTTCAGTCCCTGATGGGTCCAAGGAAAAGAAAACACATTTGAGTTTCTATATCTATTTATTTTGTGGTACCGGGGATTGAACTCAGGATCTTGAGCTTGTTAAGCAAGTGCTTATTCTACTGAGCTATCTCCCTAACCCTTGAGTTTCTATAAAAAGACTACTTCTAGCTGGGCACAGTGGCACATGTCTATAATCTCAGCACTATGGGAGGCTGAGGTAGGAGTGTTGCAAATTGAAGCCTAGCTTGGCAATTGAGTGACTTAGCAAGACCTCGTCTTTTTTTTTTTTTCAGAACCAGGGGTTGAACTCAGGCCCTTGCGCTTGCCAGACAAGCGCTTATTCTACTGAGCTATCTCCCTGGCCCAAGACCTCATCTCATAATTTAAAAAAAAAATAGCTGGGGAGATAGCCTAATGTGAAGGGTCTGGGTTTAAAACACCAATACAAAAGTAGTCTTTCATGGGCTGGTGAGATGGCTCAGTGGTCTAAAGCACCTACTTAGAAAAAGCTAAGCTAAGCAAAGCACAGGGACCGCAGTTCAATCCCCCAGCACCACATGCCAGTCAGCCCCGCCCCCTGGTGGGCTGAGCTGGCCACAGACACAAAATAAATAAA